GGGGGGGGGTCAACTGGCCAGCCAGCGTTTCTCAGATTGGAGTGAGACGAGGAGAAAAGGTGATGTCGTGATCTTCGCAATAGAACATCTTTGATGTGTGGAGTCTTGGCCAATCAGCGTTCAGATGTGTACAGCGTCTTCATTTCCCTCCGTTAAAGTTTAAGTTCCGTTATGTTCCGTTACCGTTCAGACTTGCCGGGTTAAGTTAACGTCCACTGCATGCGGAACTTTGTCGACTGTTAACGTTCATCATTATCACGATTTAGGAGGAAAAAACGTAACTTGATGAAACATGCAGCCCCCCGTGTTCCGCTTCAGTTCACGCGGTCACTCGTTAAAGTTAAACCAGAACACCGGCGCATCTGGTTGCAGGTTGTTGTTTTTTTTAACTCAAAGTAGAATGAGGCGATTTCGTGGTGATAATAACTTGAAACATGAGGCCCAGATACTGATGAGATGATGAGGTCAAAGAGCTTCAGGGAGAGGAGGCTGGTTGTGTAGCGCAGCTCGATGCAGGGCTGAGATGTGAGTGGAGCTGGGCCTGGATAAATGTGGAGCTGGGCCTGGATAAAGGTGGAGCTGGGCCTGGATAAAGGTGGAGGTGGGCCTGGATAAATGTGGAGGTGGGCCTGGATAAAGGTGGAGCTGGGCCTGGATAAAGGTGGAGGTCTAAACAGACGTGAGTACAGCTTCCTGCTGTCACAGTATTTTAAATACATTGATAAGGCAGGCTATGCTACATGAGATGAACTACAGCAACAAGGGCTCACATGTCCTCTCATCACACTGTTCACTGTGATGACCACAGCCAGTGGACCAACAGTCCCACGTGCAGCTATTATTATTATCACAGCTATTATTTTACTTTTAGAATGCTACATTTTAAAGCTCATATTTAAAATAAAATGCTCCCGATATGTGTGAGCACATATCTGTGCTCACACATATAATTAAAGCTCATATCTGCACTCGTTTTGCACAAGTTGCACGTTATTGTTGTTTTGAAAAGATATACAGTGTAAAACTCAGTAAAACTCTTTATTGCCAAATATTTGAACTTGTTTTGTTTAGTTTTTCACAGGTTGCACTTTGTTGTTATTATCTTAGAAAGATATTCAGTGTAAAACAGGTGAATTGCAGCCACAATAAGCTATTTTCTGCCAAATATTAGTTATTGTTTGCACAGATTGAACTTTATTTGCATTGTTCTAACAAAGTGATTGCACATTGTATTTGTTTTTGTCTGATGGAGCAATCTGGTTTACTTAAAAGTAATTGCAATTTTCTTTATTCTATTATTTGAAAAAGCACAGATGGAGGAGTCACAATGTTGTTATTTCAATAAAAGTTCAACATGGAGCATTTTGTTGGGGCGGTGGGGCATGAACATTTTTCTTCCTCCAAAGTGGGGCGTGACAGAAAAAGTTTGAGAACCACTGCCATGACACCTTAACACTCTAACCGTGGCCCTGATCCCCCCTCAGTCATGCAGGCTATCTGTACAATAGGACTTTGTGGTCTGGAGTCTGTCTGGAGCCCAGAGGTGTGGTTCAGTGGAACGTGGTCCTGTTCAGCGTGATGGGGTCCGCCAGTGGTCTGCAGACGGTCCTCTGTGGAGCCAACATCCTCAACTCAGTGCTGGGACTGATCCTGGGTCAGGGTCTCTGCCACAACCAGGTCTGTGTTCTGAGTCTGATAAATATTACTATCTCTGTGAGGACATAGTTCACTTCTACACCTGTGAGATAAAACATTTAAATGTGTATGTGTGTGCGTCTATGTGTGTGTGCGTCTGTCTGTCTGTGTGTGTGTGTGTCTGTGTCTGTGTGTGCGTCTGTCTGTCTGTCTGTGTGTGCGTCTGTGTCTGTGTGTGTGTGTGTGTGCGTCTGTCTGTCTGTCTGTGTGTGTGTGTGTCTGTGTCTGTGTGTGCGTCTGTCTGTCTGTCTGTGTGTGCGTCTGTGTCTGTGTGTGTGCGTGTGCATCTGTCTGTCTGTGTGTGTCTGTGTGTGCGTGTGCGTGTGCGTGTGCTACAGGTCATTCCAGTCTCAGTTTGACGTCTGAGACGTCAAATTTCCGGCTGAGAAATTCTTCACAAAGTAAAGTTATAAAAATTTAAAATGTTGCGTTCAAGTTGTTTGTTAACATTTGTATTTATTTATTTTTTAATCTTTAATTATTTTTAGCAGTTTTTAAAGTAAACAGTTAAATAATTTTATCTTCGTGTTTATTAATAAATATTCATTGATGTATTTCTTAATTTATTCTGTAATCATTAATATATTGATTAAGTGACATTTTTATTCAAATGAATTTAATAAATAATCCAAAATGACGGCTTTGACATGAAGTGTGTCTGATGTTTGTGTTTAAACTTTTAGGTGAAAATTAATTGATTATTGAAGTTAGTTAAGTATTGAGACTAAAGATAATATTTTTATATATATATATATATATATATATATATATATATATATACACTGTATAAATTGTATTTATATACATATACTGTATATATATAAAAATAATCTGTGACTCAACAACTCAGAAAAAACTGAAAACTTCACATTTAACTTTTGGTACATTTGTAAAACAATATTCATGTATATATACATACTGTGTATATATAGGTAGATATAGATGAATATTTATGTATATACTGTATATATCCGAGGTAGCCAACACGGTGCCCGCGGGCAGCTGGTCGCCCGCAAGACCTGTTCTAAAAATAGCACAAGTATGAAGAAAAATCACTGTCAGAATCCGAGAGCGCAAATAAGATCCACGCGCGTGTGCGTGTATGTACAGGTCCCGTGCGTGCAAATTAAACAGCAGCGCGCGTATATTACTTTGACAAGTGCTTTCACATCACTCCGCGCAGAATATCTGCTCGCGCGAGCAAAATTGCAGCCTGCGAGGAGAAAACCCTGATTTGAGCGCGAGGGCGCCCCCTAGTGGAGGACTGCTCTTCTGCTCGCAAAGCTTTCACCTGCTCGCTCGCGAGTAGTTTTTCTTTTTGACACTGAGTGGACGGACCCAGTCACCATTGTGTGACTACATTTAATTGGTTACAATTCTGGTCTTTGGGTTGGCCGGATATCAATCTGATATCACTGATCATTTGTATCAACATGGGACAGAGTTCATGATTTGTTCAAACATGCTACAAAAGTAGTGGTTCGTACAAACGAGACATGATGTGAAGATATGACCGTTCATGATTTCATAAAAAATGTTAGAAGTGATTATTTGTACAAAAATATTACAGGTGTGATTTTGAACCAAATACACAATCATTGTTCTTCGTACTACTGAAGTAGCCCTTCGTACTACTTCAAGTAGCTCTTCGTACTACTGAAGTAGCCCTTCGTACTACTTCAAGTAGCTCTTCGTACTACTTCAAGTAGCCCTTTGTACTACTTCAAGTAGCCCTTTGTATTACTTCAAGTAGCCCTTCGTACTAATTCAAGTAGCCCTTTGTATTACTTCAAGTAGCCCTTCGTACTACTGAAGTAGCTCTTCGTACTACTGAAGTAGCCCTTCGTACTACTGAAGTAGCCCTTCGTACTACTTCAAGTAGCCCTTCGTACTACTTCAAGTAGCCCTTCGTACTACTTCAAGTAGCCCTTCGTACTACTGAAGTATCCCTTCGTACTACTTCAAGTAGGCCTTCGTACTACTGAAGTAGCCCTTCGTACTACTGAAGTAGCCCTTCGTACTACTGAAGTAGCCCTTCGTACTACTTCAAGTAGCTCTTCGTACTACTGAAGTAGCTCTTCGTACTACTTCAAGTAGCTCTTCGTACTACTGAAGTAGCCCTTCGTACTACTTCAAGTAGCCCTTCGTACTACTTCAAG